CATGTTCGGTCTCTCCACTTCCCTTACATTGCGGTGAGAGGGGCCTTTCTAACAGGTGAATACGGTGACATAATGACCTGCTTCATGTCTTCCCAAGCCTCATTTCCAGGGCAGGGATGCCTATCACGACAGTCAAGTCTCCTCCTGATCTGGCCTTGGTCTGTTCCCCTCGGCACTCTTCTGTCTCCTTCCCTAGTGCATGCTAGGCTTTGACCACTTGTGACTGGCTAATGTGCAAACATCCTGTGCTCTCTCCCTGCCCTGCCTTTGTATCGGCTACTCCCATTACCTCAAATGGTCTCTTCTCCTGTGCTGACCCCTCTCTGCCTGGAAAACATTTCAGCTTAAATCTTGGCTTCTTGGAGTTAGGTGTTCCCAGGATACCTCTCCACACTTTGCTTAGAGAGCATGTACTTTATTGTAATTGTTTACATGCCTCTCTCCCTCTCCTCCACCTCTGAATAATTACTTTTTAATCCTTGCATATACTGTGTCCAGCAGAGTCTGTGGCCCAAAAGTGCTAAATGTTTGCTGAATCAGTAAGAGAATAGACTAGTTCATTTTTCTTAACTGGTCTTCTTTCTGTCACTTTCTTTCCAATGTAATTTTCCAGTACAACAACTAGTTTTCAGAAAAGAGCTGAACATGGCACTTTCCTTCCCAAGCACATCCCCATGCCCACAGAAAAGCATGCAAACTCCGTAAAGCTCAGTCCTTCACAGCTGACAGCAGCCAGCTTCATCTCTGCCGTGCACGCCTAAGTCTACCTTCTTGCTCATGTCATCATTTTCCACATTAACAGCTTCCATCTCCCCAGCCCTGTAAAGCAGCAGGTACACCCCAAGGTTGTTCTCAGCACTTGAGCTGGGTTATAAATGTATAAATGCAAACTGTTTTCACTTTCTTTTCCTCTGCTCAATCTCAAACTCTTGGTTCCACGCTCTGACTTTGATTTTTATATCTAGTTCTCTGAACTTTAGGTTTCTGCTGAATTTCACAGGTGCTGGTACCTTGCTTCTCAGCTCTGTTTAAAGGAGCCTGGCAGTCCCATCACCCCCCAGCCTCTCCTCTTTCCTTGGTTTATAATAATGGATCCCTCTGTTTCAGTGGGACCCATGGGTACCCAGCATAAAGATGCCATTCTCCAGTCCCCATTGCAGGGAACTGTGGCCAAATACTTGAGTTCTGGCAAGCAGAATGTGAGTGCACATGAAAGCTGACTCCTAAGCTACTACTTTAAAAAGTCTCTGTAATAGCAGATGTCTCTATATCCTAATTGATAGAAATTTAGCTTAAACTCATCCATCTAGATCCCTCTCTTCTTATAACTTGGATAGGATATCCTGCCCAGTTTAGGGCCTTTGGAAATCTATTTCCAGAAGCAGGAACTGGTATCACAGCATTTGTCCTCTTCACACAATCCAATCCAACAAGGAGAGTATGTAGATGCTTTTCTCCCTCTTTACCTCCTCCTGCTCATCCATAAAGTAAAACTGTACTCGTTGCTTCACCAGCCTCTCTTCTGAGTGTATCAGGACACTTGGCATTCCTCCCTGAGACATGGAACTGCTTTATCTTATTCAGGACCCTCAGCCTTCATAGTAGCCCCTGGCCCAAAGGGGCTTTGTGCCTTACTTATAAAGTTGTGAGGGCTAAATGAACATTGAATACTTGCAAAGTGTGGAGTGTGCCTAGAACTTAGTATGCACTCAAGCTATTGTTGTAGCTGTTGTTAAATGTCAGTGGGGCCAAAGTTTTCACTGTCTTTGAGTTCCCCATGCAGCCAGCATAGCACTGCAGAATTTATACTTGTGGTAGTGTTTGACTATGCAGTACTCTCATGAGGACTGACCTTCATGCTTCCTTAAGTGTTCTGGCCCACTGACCTATCTGAATGTAATAAAAATTAGAAATAACCTACTTTGAAGGTCAGAAATAAAAGACGATCAGTTCAGGAGTCCTGAAAACTTATGTTGCACCTTTTATCATGTCTGTTTGTAACTTGAAATTAACATTTAAATTGTCTTGAGATTAGTGACATTTGTTGATGTGTTATAAGTACCTCACCAGTTAATTGGAGATTTGGACTGTTTTCTAGTTGATGATGCTGTTGGTTATAATAATAATGATAGCTGCTAATATTGGGAGTTTAGCGTAGGCCAAGAGTGTAAGAACTTTGTGTGCACCTTTCATTTAAGTTACATTAGATTATAGATATTTGAAATACAGATAGGGAAATGGAAGCAGGAAAATGTTAAATGATTCAGCAACAGTGGTAGATAAAGTCATTTTGATTGGCAGGATTAGAATCCAGGTCTGCTGTGGCTCTTACCTATGTTTACTGCAAGTTCTAACTTGCAAAATAAACGTGATTTTCATCTCTTATCTTGAGGATTCATTAAGTTTAGTTCTCAGATTGCTTTCTATTTAGGTTTCTAATTAGAGTTCATTTCTAAATCAACACTATCTTATTTACTTACTGATTTTGTCCAAATTAGTAATAACAAATTGATATGAATTGACATTTATCTGTCTTTGTTTTCTGTTAATTTCTTAGCTTAGTGATTTCTTAAATCTGAACTGTAGACCTATGAAACCCAACTTCTAGACTTTTCTTTAAGATTTATTTTTTTTTTAATGGCCACATAATAATTGTACAGACTGCCAGATTTAAATGACAAGTTTTAGAGAGATCCCTTCAACTTGAACAGGGGCAGGCAGTGAGAAACAAATGCCCTAGTTGTTTCCCTTTGCAAGCAAGCAGATTTTCTTTACTTAGGAAACCAAGACCCAGTTTCCCATTCTTCCATCATCCAAGAAAGTTCTCTCTGTCAGCTTTACCCTCAAAGAAGCACTGACTTCCTGTTAAAATTCCACTGAATTGGTGGTTTCTGCTTCCTTCTCATTTTTTTTTCTGGCCATTAGGGACTCCCTGTACTTTCTTGTGAACTCATTATTGCATTTAAAAGTATGTTTCAGAGGCAACATGAAGCAATTGGAACTCATGTATACTCCTTGTGGAAGTACATATTGGTGTAACCACTTTTGAAAGCCCTTTGCAGTATGGACTAATGTAGATCATATGCATGCCCTGTGCACCGCAGTCCAGCTCTACTGTGTACCCAACATGTTCCCACCACAGGAAATGTACTAGAATGCTTATAGCAGAACAACAATGTCCGTCAATAAGAGAATGGATAAGTAAATTGTGGTTTACCACAATGGAATATAATGGAATCCCACATAGTAATCATTTTTTAATGAAGATGAATTCTGACTACTCGCAACACATGGATGAATCTTAGAGACATGTTGAGTGAAAGAAGCCAAATATAAAAGTGCACCTACATACAGTATGATTCCATTTATATAGAGTTCACAAATAGGCCAAACCAATCTCTAATATTAGAAATCAGATAGTAGTTGCCTCTGGGCGGGGGAGAGGAGTTAATTGTTGAAATGGAGTACAAAAGGGGCTTCCAAAGTGCTCCTTTCACAGATGTGTTTGCTTTGTGATAATGCTTCAAGTTATACACTTCTGCCTTTTTTTTTTTGGAGACGGAGTCTTGTTCTGTCACCCAAGCTGGAATGCAGTGGCATGATCTTGGTTCAGTGCAACCTCTGCCTCTTGGGTTCAAGCGATTCTCCTGCCTCAGCCTCTGGAGTAGCTGGGACTACAGGCACCCACCACCCCACCATGTCTGGCTAATTTTTATATTTTTAGTAGGATGGGGTTTCACCATGGTGGCCAGGTCAGGCTGGTCTCAAACTCCTAACCTCAAGTGATCCACCTGCCTTGGCCTCCCAAAGTGCCAGGATTACAGGCATGAGCCACTGCATCCAGCTGGATATTGTATTTCTTTTAAAAATATTTTATATTAGGAAAAAAGCATATTTTAAAAGTGGTTAAAAGGGTATGTTACAGAAAGATTAGAAAAGGCTATTCAAGATGACTTGATTTAATATGTTCTTAGAACTGCAGGACAGCCCCATGCCTCTGAGTCGGTGTGTTTACATGTGCGTGTGCATGCGTGTGTGTGTGTGTGTGTTTAGGGGAATGATGGGCAGGGCATTGCTTGTTTTGGTTATTAGTTCCTTGTCATGCTTTCTGATCTATTTATTTTTCTGCGTAGCCTTGTGGGAAATCAGTAAACAAATCATCAAGTGTAAACATTGATATAGGATGGTAAATATCCTGATATAATATCTTGTCATGTGATTATTTATTAGAAAATGTGTGTGTGTGTGTCTATGTGTGTGTATATATATATATATATATATATATATATATATAGTCTCTTACTTTGAATTTGAAAAAATATGGAGAACTAAGACCTTTTAGTACATAATCATATTTTTTGAATGGAGATTTCCTTAAGCAACACAGAAGAAGAAAAAGCTGAAAAGGAGAGGAAACATAACTTTAATATCCATAGGGAATGTTTTTCTAAAATCTCAATAAACATAATATGCATATTTTTCAAATAAAATATGGCAAGGTAACATCTCAAATACAAATATGCTTATGAGGACTCTTCGAATTGTTAAAATTAGAACCCTGCACTTATATTACCAGGAAAGCAGTTTATAGTCTAGAAGACAGCAAAGTACATCCCATTATAGCAAAAGTCTTTTTGCTTTATATTGCCAAATTACCATAAAAGGAGAATGTCTGCTGAAGTTAATTTTGTTCTTAATTTCAATCTGCAGATGAGTGATTAGTAAGCTATTTTTTTTTTCTTGAAACCTAAGAAGCAGTTCTGTGGAACAATGTTATGATCATATCATTTGCATTTAAATGAAGCACTGTGTTTTGCATTTCTAGATATTGTTTAGTTTAATCTAAGATTAATCTGTATGTTGGGGTTGATGGAATTGAAACAAGATTTATAGCTGTGAATTCTTGATTTGATTGTAATAGGCAACTGGCTTTTCTTTTGGGTTTTGCACTCAAGTTAATTCATTTGGATTTGGAGATAATAGAGCCCTTGTCTTTACAGAACTGCCTAGAAATCCTGTGTAGGCACGGAGGGCTTGAGACGGAAAGGAGAGACAAGTGCAATCGGACTGTGCATGATGTTGCCACTGATGACTGCAAGCATTTGCTGGAGAATCTGAGTGAGTGATGTTCAGAGCTTATTGTTTGTCTTTCCCCTATGCTACTGGGCCTCTGGTACAACTATTTACAGTTTTTGCATCCCCTTTTTAACCTTTTTGGAGCCCTACCTGGCAAAAATACTTCATTGATTGTGTCATAATTAATTCTTTTTCCATGTAGAATGACTTTTTGCATTTAGAATAATTGCTATTCAAGTAATGCTGGCTACTCCTTCTATTTTACTAACCTTGGAAAGCATCTGAGTACTTTTTGCATTTTTCTTCTGACTTACATTGTCTTTCTAGACATTAGACCAGCAGGGTATAAGAAATCCCAGCTCTATACTCTGCATCAGCTGATTGTATGAGCCAGGCAAGTTGATTGTCTCCCAGCACCTGGTTGCCTACTTTTCTATGAAGATAGTTGATGGTTTATTGGGTTCCTCCAGCTCTAAGAGTACATGCTCCTCAGCACATTTTGTAAATGCTCACTTGTGGGTTTATGAGTGTGGAGTATAGACCATAGAAAACATTATGACCTCTTATATTATCACCTAATCCATCCAGTCAGCTAACTATATCAGTAATTCAATTTTAGGACGAACAGGATTTTAAAAATTGAAATAATGTTTTTACCTTTAACTTTATACATACATTCATGTTCCTTTATTTTGTGAAGGAAATTTTAGAATGGTAAGGAAGAATATATGCAAACTGTGTAAGTATACTTTAATATAAAAAGATAAAAGAGAATCATAGAAATTCTCTTAAACCTGAGTGGGTTTTCTTCTTTTATTGACAGAAGTCTTACTTTAAACTTTGAATCACTGCTCAGTGTCTGAAACAGTGCCTTGTGCAGGATTTCTCCAAAATGGTTCTTTTATTACAAGCTGATGCTAACCTAATAACAAACATGGAAAGCTTTCTGTTGGGCTAAAATTTTATTATGGAATTTAAATGCTATAATTTAATTGTATTCCACTTTTTGATATTAACACTTAAAAAATAGAAGGAATAAGTATGTATAGCTGTGGTATCTGAGATGTGAAAAATATGAAGCATATTTGCATGGCTGGAATAGAGGTGTGATTAGAGGTAGGGAATTGGAAGGATGAGGCAGCACAGTTGATGTTTTGGGCAGTTTCATGCTCATTTCAGTAGCTTTGACTTTATATGACAATCAAAGATAAGCCAATGAGATTCTTGATAGTGCATGATATAATACAAATGGCGTTTTGGAATTTTGTAGGCAGCTCTATGTGGGACAAATCAACCTACAGAGAGTCTGGAAACAGATCAAGCATCAAAAAGTTTTAATGATATGTCAGCAGTTGGACCAGGGTGAAGGAGAGGGATAGAAAATCCTTAAATTGAGGATGAAGGAGGACTTTATGAAATAAAAGACTGATATGGGAGACCTGAGTATCATTTCCATCTCAGACATGATGGAAGGATTTGCACATGCATACCCCATGGAAGACTGGACATTAGGTAGTGCGATTTAAGGGAAAGGACAGCTGAATCCCAGTACCGTTTTTTGAGGTCTATATGACGTCAGACAAGTTTCCTCACCTTTTGTTACCTCAGTTTCACCTGTTCATAGGGTTAATAATTATTCATGTACCTGAGTGCAAATGAATGGATTGTTTCTTAAGGTCTTTCTAAGATTTGCAAATCTGACAATCGGAGAGAAGTAACGAAGACACGATGTGCATTTAGATTGTGATTACTTCCATCAGGCTGATGATGAAAGCTGTGAATGCAAGTGAACTACAGGAAGTTATTTGACATATTCTGTCAAATATTTCAAAGAATATGAATATGTCAGGAGCAGAGATGCATAGTTATTTTCATTTCTTTAACAAATTATTCCTTGCCTAAGCACATAGCTAGAAGCACGCCTGCACATGTGTACCAGGAGACATATGAAGATGTGTGTTGCAGCATTGCATGTAATACTAGAAAACTGAAAGTATTCTAAAGGAAATCTATTAGGGAATGGATAAATAGAATAAACTGTAGAAAATCCATATTTTAAAGGTACCAAATAGCACTTCAAAATAAATTTTATCTAGGCTGGGCGCGGTGGCTCACGCCTGTAATCCCAGCACTTTGGGAGTCCGAGGCGGGCAGATCATGAGGTCAAGAGATCGAGACCATCCTGGCCAGCATGGTGAAACCCCATCTCTACTAAAAATATAAAAAAATTAGCTGGGCATAGTAGCATGCGCCTGTGATCCCTGCTACTCAGGAGGCTGAGGCAGGAGAATTGCTTGAACCCAGGAGGCAGAGGTTGCAGTGAGCCGAGGTTACGCCACTGCACTCCAACCTGGCGCCTGGTGATGGAGTGAGACTCTGTCTCAAAAAATAAAAAATAATTAAATAATTAAATAAATAAAATAAATTTTATCTATATAAATCACCATAAATACATTAAAAAATGTTGAGTGAAGAAGTCAGTTATAAAAGGACACGTAATATAAAACCATCTGTGTAAAAGTTTAAAAATACAACTCCAAGCCTATATTTGTTATAAGTACCACTAAATGAGGCAAAGTGTAAAAATATGCATAGGGGAGGTAAGAGCTTCCCCGTGGAAGATTGAAGTAAAAATTGAAGGGCTGGGCCAAGAAAGAGTGGAAAATAGAGCCATTCCAGGTGAACCAGCAGCATATCAGAAGGCACTGAAGGGGATGTACTTTGAAGTCTCTAGAGGTATTCAGCTATATCTGCAGTGCCAGGGAGAAGAGGGAGATGAGTATAGAAAGTCAGATCATAAAAGGCCTTGTATTCCTTTTGACTCAATCCCCCACGTAAGTTTTGATGCAATCCTGTGGACGTGAATGAACAATTGAATGATTGTAAGTGAGGAAGTAAGAGGTAGGTAATAATTGTCTTGTTACACAGGGTTCCAAAGATGGGGAGCATGACTGTTACCTAGTAAGAGGGAAGGAAGCCTGAACAAGCCAGGGAGGAACAGGGCTGGAGGACAGGGTCACAGTTCAAGTCACAGGTGTGCTATGAGACATGAATGATGTATAGGGTGAGGGCAAAAGGGAACTAAAGGCCAAGCCCAGAGAAACCCCCATTCTTAGGTCAGAACAGATAAATAATTACTCTAAAAGAAGTTTGGGAAATAAGAAGGAAGAGTCAAAAAAACAATGGTGTATGGTCAAGCATGGTGGCTTAAGCCTGTAATCCCAGCATTTTGGGAGGCTGAGGCAGGAGGTTTGCTTGAGCCCAGGAGTTCAAGATCAGTCTGGGCAACATGGCAAAAGCCCATCTCTTCAAAAATTATGAAAAATTAGCCAGGCATGGTGGTGTGTGCCTGTAGTCCCCACTGTTCTCTACTCCGGGGGGTTGAGGCGGGAGGATTACCTGAGCAAGGGAGGTCAAGGCTGCAGTGAGCCAAAATGGCACCACTGCCTTCCAGCCTGGGTGACAGAGTAAGACCCTGTCTCGGAAAAAGAGAAAAAGAAAAAACAATAGTGTAATTGGACTCAAGTTAGGAGACCTTTCCAACAGGAAGAAGTGATTTAACAGTATCACATTCCCTAGACTGTAAGAGTTAAAAGGAGAGTCGATTGCATTTGGCAAATAGGAAGTTACTGCTAACAGGGGGGCAAGTTTCATGCAGTGATGTAGACAGAAGCTGATTATTTTAAGCAGAGAATAATATGGAAAGGCAGTGGAAGAAAATCTATAGTAGAATAGTGTTCTTCACTCACTGAATACCCTTTTATTAATTCATTGGACACATGCTTATTGGGCTGCTGTCTGTGCCAGTCCTATCTTTGCCACTTGAGGTAAGTCAGAGAATTTCTAAGAAGATTGTTCTCATCCTGAAGCTCATAGTCTAATATTAAGAGATAAAATGAACAATAGACAAAAGGAAAAGGTTTTTTATGGCATTGTGAGATGGTGAGATGTGCTATGGTAAAGACTAAGGGGATCGGGATTGTCAGGGTGGGTTTCAGCTTTTAAAATGGTGGCCAAGTTTGCCTCGCTGATAAGACATTTAAGCCAAGGCTTCAAGGAGGTAAACAGGGCAGCTATGAGGATGTCTATAGTAGGAGCTTTAGCACCAGTTGGGCAGAGGCCTGAGATAGAAGCATTCCTGTTCTGTCTGAGGAACTGCAAGGAGGGCAGGGCGACTGGGTTAAAACGCATGAGAAAAGAGAAGCAGGAGGACAGGGCAGAGCAGTAGCCATTTCAGTGTTTAAGTGAAGGAGAGCGGTTACTGAGTGGAGTGGGGCCTGATCTTGTTGGAATGTGTAGGCCGTCATAAGAACTGAAGGTAGACATTTTAGGGTTCGCGTGTAGGATAGAAGGGATCTGACGCACATTTTAACAATAGCACTAGCTGCTTTGTTGAGAATCAACTATAGGAAGTCATAGGTAAATCAGGAACACCTGTTAGTAAATGAATGTAATATTCCGGGTGAGAGACTATGATGTTGGCTCAATGTAGGACTGTAGCAGATAAGGTAGTGAGAAGGACTTGGTTTCTGGATACAGTTGAAGGTAGAGTCAACAGAACTTCCTCATGGGTTGAATGTGAAGTATGGGTGGGGGGGATTCATAGATCATTCAAGGTGTTCAGTCTGAGCAACTGGCAGGTTGGAGTTGCAGTACTTGCTAGGGGAAGGGCTGTGGGTGAAACAGATTTTGCTCATGAAGTTGGAGAGTTCAGATTTGGATGCAGGAATTTGAGATGTCTCTTAGGATATCTGTGTAGAGATGTCAAGTCAGCAGGAATTCCAGAGGCGAGTGTGAGCTGGGTGAATAAATGTGAAAGTCAGCAGTCTATCAGATATTTAAAGTCATGAGACTGGATGAGATCACTAAGGGATTAATACATACAAAATAAATAGAGAAAGAAGCCCCCAAACACACTATCATTAAGAAGTCCGGAAAAGTTGGAGGGGACATCAATGGAACAACATTAAAGAGCAACCAAGGAGGTACAGGAGATCCAGGAGGAGTATATCCAGGAGGTACAGGAGATCCAGGAGGAGTGTATCCAGGAGGTACAGGAGATCCAGGAGGAGTGTATTCAGGAGATACAGGAGATCCCGGAGGAGTGTATTCAGGAGGTATAGGAGATCCAGG